TCATTACTATGGGTCTGTATTGAGACTGAAATACTATGTGGCCCTCATGGTAAGGCAAACATGCTCACCTCATGGTGATCGGAAGGCAGAGATAATGAGGAAGGAACCAGTGACAAGATAGACCCTTATGGCAATACCTCCAGTGATGCACTTGCTTCAGTGAGGTCCTGCTTCCTAAAAGGTCACTCAGCTGTGAGCTCAGTCCATTGAGGAGGTGAGCATCCTCACAATTAAATCACTGCCAAATAGCACCAGCAGCTGGGGTTCAGCCTTCAATAACTGAGCTATTTATGGGGACAGTTTGTATCCAAAAATTAAAAAACTAACCTAAATAATGTATTGACATACAAGGCAGAAATGTATGCAATACGGAAGGGCAAAGCCCAAGCAGAGTTGGATTGCACTAAATGATAAAAATACACATTAAAAAATATGGCTGGTGAGATGGCTCCATAGGTAAAGGCACTTGCTGAAAGACAGATGGGTAATAATAATGGTAATAACAAAATAAAGTTTTGAACACAGCATGATTCACATGAAGCCCTTACACATACTTCTGTCTACCATGTGCACTGAAGAATAAAGAACATGGCATGCTTGTGCCCCTAAAGAGGGCACAGGAGCTTGGAGAAGATTTAAGATCAGGTGAGCTTGTGAGGAAGGATTGTCAGTGATTCACTTAGATCTGTAGATTCTTTTTACCACTTCCAGCACATATATGGCATGGCTTGTATGCTTATATTTATATAAAGCCCTGCACCCTGTATTTTACTAGGGGACTCCTCAGTGGCTTCTGGGGCTCCCTTGCTTCTTTTGCTAAAGGGTGTAAATGGCAAACCTAAATAAATGTCCTCCCAGCTCTGGGCCAAGGACTCATTGGCACGGAGACTCTGCACAGCTTCCTTGCTCTTGTGTGGACAAAGGTTAGAGTTATAAGCTACATAGGCAGAGCTGCCTGCCCCCAGCCTTTCCTTAGTTCCCTCGTACATGTAACTTTTCCCCAGCATCTAGTTTGAGGGAATTTCCATTTGGCCATCTTCAAGTTTGTTCCATGGAACTATGTATAAGAAGGTTAGCATACACAAGGTAGGGGACTTCTAGAGGGTCCGCATGCCACAGGACTGTGGCTGCTCTGTGAAGATCACAGGAATTTAGTCAAATGATCCATATGTGATAGTTATACCAGCTGCTGTCATTTGTCCCTAAATGACACAGCACACCACTCACAAGTTGTCCTGTTTAGATACCCTGCCCCTCACCCCCCGCCAGAGAACAGGTTGGTATACAGAGCTCTTGATGCTTTAGCTTTGCATCTTTCTAGTAAAGGAGTGATTTTCAATTGTTTTAGTAAGAGAACTCCTTATTCTTCCCACAGTGAACTTGTAAGCAAGAGGCCAACAAAGAGAAGCTAGAGATTAATCCAGAAGGGATGTGAGTGGCATCCTGGCATGCTGGAAGCAGGAGATACCATTGAGGGGGCGCTATATTCACTGCATGGATTACCAGCAATACTTAGTGAAGAGGTATGATGAAAACTAATGAATTGCTTGCAATTTTGGATGTGTAGGCCACCCTCCAAATCCTTTTTCTCCTTCATTTCTGCTATGAAGTCCACAACATCCAACTCTATTGACAACCACAAGCAAAAAAAAAAAAAAAAAAAAAAAAATCTCTGTGATTAAATGGATGGAAGAGACTACACTTGTACACTTGTTGATGTTGACCTGGACATATGCAAAGAACACCAGCTACCTGCCCTTAGGTTATAGAAAACCTACATGGCACCCATGGCTTCCAGTAAAGGCCACCAGCAGCTAGGCAAAGGTAGGCGAGCCTCCAGGAAAACCAAATGGAAAGAGAACTAGGGCCATAGGTGAACATGGCATAACCACACAGTTAGTCTGTGGTAGGTAGCTTAAAAAAAAAAAAAAAACCAAAAAAAAAAAAACAGTTGGCATTTTTTTTTTCTGACAGGGTGGAGTCAGTCTGAGGCAGTCAAAGGAGGGGCTAGAGAGAGGGAAGAGCCCTTATCAGAGCAGAGCCAAGCAATGTTGTTGACATTGTGCCCACAGTACACAACAGAGTGCACAGCAAGAGGCCAATGGGCTGCTAGCTCCTGGGCGTTTGCATATGCTGGCGCCTCGCTGCTGTGTGATCTTCCAGTCTTGGTCAGAGCTAACATCTCAGTCTGGGTTCACAGGAAGTAGTTAATTCCTGGTGTTCCTGACAGCTCCTAAAAGACCCTCCAGATGAACCACTTTCAAGTATGACAAAAATTCCTCCTCAACCCCCTAGACGTGCAGTGGTCAGCATCGTTAAAAGTATCCAAGGGGTTTCAATTAAAGATTTCCTAAGCGGTTGACACACCTCTAACTCTCACTAACCCTTTGAGTAGCACCATTACTCGTGTGTTCGTGACTAACTAGGGAACGTTACTAAAGGAAGCAAACGGCTCTTGAAGTCTCTCTAATAGACCTTTCTGTGGCTGTCACCCACTTGAACAAAACATTGATAGAATCACCTGTGTGCTACAAAGTATTTACAGCATGGGTTCCACGTCTGTGCCACCCAAACTTTCTCAACAACCTCAGGATTGGAAACTTACAGCTGAGTTATGCTGTTATCTCCTGGTCTTCCTCTTAGGAGAGGAGGGAACCCCGATTTCCAAGTCTATCTGGGAGAACCCACTTACCCAGCTACTAGGACCGCGGCCAGGAAGACCAGGAAGCCGGCAGAGAGGTCTGCAGAGGAAGTGCTTTCATTGGCTGTCCAAGTTGATCCGTCCCCTATGCCTGGCAAAAGCCAGCCCAAGGGCCTCTGGGAAATGTAGTTGTAGGGCCTCACTTCACCCTGGCAAACTCTCAAGCTCTGTCTTTGAAAAGGAGTGAGATATCTTGTGAAGGGCCTTGGTATTTCGCAGAGTTCACGCTCTGTCGGAGCCTGTGGGAGGTCAAAGCTTGAGAAGGGCGCAGGCAAAGCAGATCCAGGGCGTCGAGGAGGAAGCGATGGCCACATCTCATTCACACTCCAGTAAAGGAATCACCTTCTGTTGATATGTTTTCCTTTTTCTTTCTTTCATCTTTTATTTTCATGTCCTTCTGCTTCTCTCGCAAAGGCACTGTGGAATGTATATGACGTGTGTCCGTACCTGTGTTGTACACAGAGCACGTGTCGTATGGTTGTATTTCAGCGGTCTTTGATTTATAATGATAATGGCAGATAATGCTTGTTGCTTCTTAGCTGTTTCCCTGTCCACTGTATTTTAAAGACTCTTCAGAATCAGTCCTCTGTGTTATCCCTTTGGTTCATACTATTCATATATTCTGGGTAAACAGAATAGATTCTTAAATTTAAGCTTCTGGGGGCGGGGCTTTAGGAGGAGGGGTGGATAACAGAATCCATATCCCCATTTTCTGTCTGATCAGTCAGGTCACTTTGAGGCATGCAATGCCTCTCAGTGTACTGCTGAGGGATTTTGTTTCCTTTGTTGATGACAACCATTTGTTAGCAAACAGTTTGATTATTTTTATTCCTGCACTAGCACTTCCCAACTATTATATTGCTACAAGCAACCAAGCAAAACAAAAACAACAGAAAAATTGCTATGGCTGTGGCCGGTGCCTGCAGTCCTGGCACTTGGGAAGAGAAGGAAGGACAATTAAAGACTCAAGGCCATCCTGAGTTACGCAACAAGTTCAAGGCCAGCTTGGGCCATTCCCCAAAGACAAACCAAAACAAAAATCCATCCTTGTTGCAATGTAACCTGTACATTTGGTAATATCCTGGCTCCTGCTTCTCTGTTAACCTTAATATGATCATGACCAGTGGAAGACTGAAGGGTACTGGACTATTCCATGTTAGCCACAGTCCTGACATTGGAATCTGGATGGAGAGGGATATTCAAGAGTTCCCTGGGCTGGATTACTGGGGAGTAATGGGTTTATTGTAAGAGTTATTAGCATCATGGGTATATAGAGCAAGGGGCAGCAGTAGGGCTCCAAGGAGAGTTCAGGCCTGCAGAGTCAGACAGCATGGCGGGGTCTCTGAAGAGAACAAGAATCCATGTGGTAGAGGATGGGGGAAGTTCTCAGCAAGAGCCTGCAGCCAGGATCTCTGATTCCCAAGCAGGAGCTAGGAAGGGCATGGGGAGGAGGATGTGTAATGTCTATAGTGCCAAAGTCAGTGCTTCCGTTGATGTTAACTGGCGCTGGGACTGCCTGTTAGCTAAGGGCTCACAGAGGATAAGGAGTCTGTCAATCAGTATCCGTCGCTATGGAGTGAAGGCTGCTGCAAGCGCTGTGGCCTGAATAGAGGCTGGATTCCAACATGACACTCTTAGAGAATCCAGCCAGAAAGGGAGAAGTTAAAGGGTCAGATTCGGGGGCACAAGCCATACATGTACGCCTCTGGCATCTGTTCTCATCAAGCACGCCGTAGGCAGCTCACAATGTGAACAGAATTTTAACAGGAGTGAAGAAAAGAAAGAGGGAAAGACTTAGAAGTAATTGCCAAATCCCAGAGCAAAATAATTTTGTGTGGTAGTGCTGTAAACCAAGTTCTCGGCTTCCAGTATACTGGGCCGGTAGTCTAATCTTAGCCCCACGTTTGTGTTCTTTTTGTTGGGGACGGAACATATATATGCCTCAAACTCAGTTTTATTTCTTGAATCAGATCCACAATTCTACCCAGTAATGTGCTCAGGGATTGAACTCTGAGGTCCACTAAAAGCCATGTGTATTTGCTTGCTTCTCTTGAGCTAAAGTGGAGCATGGAGTAGAGATATTAGACGAGGATGAAAGGAATACACACCCTACAGATGGCGTATCCATTATCATATCCCAGTATTTCCAAGAAACCTTTGACTCAGATTATATTAGCCAACACTACTTTAATATATTTAGCATCAATATACTTCATAAACAATTCATAAACAATGTTTTTCCATTTTATAAATCACCTAATTTAAAACATCAGTGTTCCCAAAGCTTTTTTAAAAAGTATCAAATACAAACAGACGTGTGCCACAAAATTAACCCTGGAAGAAAATCCAAGCATGTCATTATCCTGGCAGCTTCTCATCGAGCCCCTTGCATTGCCTTGAGCTTTGTCTTGGGGACTAAGAAGTTGCCTGGAACTGAATTGATGACTCTTTCTTGCTTGCTTTATTTTGATCCTAAGTTGTGAAGGTGGCTTCTTGTCAACCTTGGTCATCAGGTTTATTCTCGCCGAATTTAATGCCTGCAGTTGTGTTTATTCATAGTGAACTACTAGTATAAGTTTTATGTGAGTTCAACAATAACATAATGTTTGAAGGTTTTCTCTTGCAAGTGAATATGGCTCCCAAGATAACCACATCTTCATTAAGAATTTTTTGTATGATTAATCTTGAAAAGGATTGTGATTATATTCATTAAAATTTTATTTAATTATAACTGATTATATTTTTCATGGTAAGATGACAGGGCCGCTAGGATTTCTTTTCACAGAATGTAGGAAATAAAAGATACACATCATTAGTTGATCAATATCAAGTTCAGTGATGACCCTATAAGGACTGCTTTGGATACATCTGCATTTGTTTCAAATGCTGAAGAACATGAAATAGTAATGAAAACCAATTTTGCTCCTCACCCTAAATAGTAAAAGACAGGTTACCATTTTTGGGTACAAGCTTTCTCTCCAAAGAAACACCAAACACAGCTTTCAGTATTTCTTCTATTTCTTCCTCATTTACATTCTTAAACTCCACCAGATCTACATTGTCCTTATAGCTGAATTTCCTACTTGCAAAGGTAGAGCCTATTAAACAACAGACACCTTCTGGGGTCTGCAAAGCACAGAATGAAGTGTGTATAAATACGGATGTTGATGACGTCTGGAGGTAGGTATTCATGGACTCAAAGTCCTCAATAGTGCGCGGCTCCAGAGTGAAAGAGTAGACTTTCCGATATTTGCTCTTCTCAAGGAGGTCGGAGTTAGCAAATTCTTGGTTTGGGACACACTGCTCTCTTCTGATTTGGTCCAAGTACCAGGTTCCATTCTCTTCTGTCAAACGGAAGATGCCAGGCACCTGAGGCTGATCCCTCCCTGATACTAATTCCAGAGGCTCCCATATCTGGCAGGAGCCTCCAAAGGCCGCATCGACAATGTAGTTCCTGTCACTGATGGTCACCTGGACTACGAGGTGAATCATTTCTCGACTGTATTTATTGACTGGAAGTATGTAGACGTAGCCTCCCAACATCGTGGTTTCAAAGCCCATTTTGGTCAGAGCCCAGTACAGAAGATGATTCGCCTGGAGACACCACCCGCCCCGCTTCTTTCTCACTATGTGGTCAAATGTGGCCTCTAAGTCCAAATTCATGGCTTCTCCACAATGCATGTTAAGGTTCTCAAAAGGAACTGTTCGCATCTGGTGCTGAAGAACTTCAGTTAGTGTGTCCAAGTCCAATTTATTCACTGGGTTCTTATAACCAATCCTTTCAAAATATGCTGCGATGTCCATGGTCCCCTAAGGCAAACAACATGAAACCAAACAAACATTACAGCAGTTCCTCGTGGATGTCCTGGAGTCAGCTAACTGCAGCTAGAATGTACTATTAATATGCATGCATGAACAATGCCTGTACATGTCTCATCAATAATCATATTGTTTCTACTGCATTACTGGCTTTTGTCTGCAGGTCATTAAATATTCCCAGTGACCCTTGAAGGAGAGATTTACTATTTATTGTATTTTCAAGATTTTGAAGTTAGAAAGTCAGATTAAATAGCAGTCAAAAAACTAACAGCTTAGATGTGGTCTCCTTGGTGGTATGGTAGACATTGCTGCTGGCACCCTGTAAAATAAACTCTAAACAGTTATTCAGTGTGATGGTTTGAAAGAAAATTACCCCAACATGGAGTGGCAATATCAAGAAGTGTGGCCTTGTCGGTGGAAGTATGTCACTGTGGGGGCAGGCTTTGAGATCTATTTCTCAAGCTTCCTTCTGTGTGACAATCAGTTGACTTTCTGATGCCTTCTGGTCAAGGTGTAGCCAGCACCACATCTGCCTGCATGCTGCCATGCTCCCTATCATGATGACAATGGACTGAACCTCTGGACCTGTAAGATATTATCTCAATGAAACGTTTTCTTTGTAAAAGTTGCTAGGGTCATGGTGTCTCTTCATAGCCATAAAAATCCTAACTAGGACATTCATGAAAATGGAGAATTGTGCAGCAGAGAACACAGTGACCATGCCAAGTGATCCACTCCACCACTCCATTTAACTGAATGATATGGACAAAGCTACCTACTCAAAGATTTGCACTGATGGACCAAGTCACTCCTTCATTCAACAAATGGTTTACTGAACACTCTCGAGCTGCCCACTATTGATCTAGTGTTTCCTTGCCCTCTAAAACTTTGCATTTTGGTGGGCATTAAAATAATATACATAAAGTGAACCGAGTAAATTTTTTTTTGAGACGGGGTTTCTCTGTAGCTTTGGAGCCTGTCCTGGAACTAGCTCTTGTAGACCAGGCTGGCCTCGAAATCACAGAGATCGGCCTGCCTCTGCCTCCCAAGTGCTGGGATCAAAGGCGTGCATCACCATCGCCCGGCTGAGTAAATTTACTTTTATAACACAATGTGGTAACTGTCCACAGAATAACTAAGATAAGAAGAGGTCCATGGGAAGCTTTGCTCTGAAACAACGTGGACATAGCAAGCCTCACTCACACGTGAAGGATGCTACACAAAGAGACTGTGGATATGTGTGAGGACGGTGGTTCCTAGCAGAAGGAATAGAGAGTCTTCGGTGAATGTTCTAGAAAGCCAGGCTGACTGTGGCAGATGGGTGAGAAGAGAGGACTGAGATGAGCTCTCGCTCTTATCAATGACTTTATGGCTAGTGGGGACCGGGTGAGCTCTGCTGAAAATGATAGTATAAGTAACAGAAGGCTTAGAGGGCAGTTACACCGTGACAATATTTGATGCGCTCAAAATCAGTTTTCTGAATCACTATCAATGATCAAATGCAGTCGATAGGGCTATTTCAAAACAATTACACTCAAGTACCAGTGTCTGACTCACGACATGCACATGTTAGTGAGAGACTTATGTTCTGGAGCAGAGCAAAATCTACTGAAATGATGGGGAGGGGGAAGCAACAGCAACAAAGACTGAGGAAGGGAAACAAAGAAGTAAGCGCTAATGCTATTGGCTGTCAGGTGATGCGAACTCCCCGCTAACCCACTTCCATCAGTCTGCTCAGAAAGGGTGGTAACCTGCCACCCAAGAGCCTTAACCTAACGAGACTCTGAAGATGAGCGAAGAGCACAGGTCCTGAGTGAAACCCTCTGCAATGTGGTACTCTTGGGAAGGACACGGTACACAGGGTCTGTCCCTCAGTCAGTGGTGATCACCGAAGCCTTCATCTGTCACGTGGTCACAGCATTTCCCTTTGTCAGGCAGCTACCCTTCCCACACTCTCAGGTTCACACCGTCTCTCCCTAGTTTTACCATCACCCTTCTCTGGCATTTAGACAAACTCTAAAATCTATTATTCAGGCCTAGAAAGAACAAGTGGTGTTTGTTAGAACATCCTAAACTCGCCCTGGCCCCTATCCCAGAATTTGCACTAAGCATGTTAGGAACAGAGAGGAAGATTGAATCAAATGGGAAAGCCTGGTTAGCCAGCACACTTTCTACTAGGAAATTATATTTCTCTATAAGTGCGATCTTTATATTTAAGGCTTTCATCATCCTTATCCCTGTCTACCCCTTCTTTCCCACTCCCCTCTTTCCCCATACATCATCTATGTCATTAACAAAAGTCTCTTTTAAGATAAAACGCCAAACTGTATTGACTGAAGCTCCATCAAAATGAATTTGTTAGGGACCTTGATACTACTGACATCTAGTAACCAATCCATACTTTGGGTAGCCTGTGCCTAAGCATATTTTAATTACCTATTACTGGAGCTGAGATTTAAAATGAAATGCTGAAAACACTTATAAACTACTTGTCAAGAAACTCATAAGGGAAACACGGCTGAATCCACATGATGGCTTGCAGCATCTCTGGGAAGCGGCCAACTCCTTCCTTCCCACGTCATCATTAACATGGGAAGACTAAAAGGGGGTGGAAGGAACACAGTAAGGGAGCCTACTGAGAAGTATCAGGTTCTTCATACCTGTCCTGGTAAGCTCAGTGTAGTCTGATTGTCAGGTTTAGCTCAGGTGTCAGGGGATGTTTCTTCTTCTTGTGAAAACTGTAGAAATAATTAAAAATATCTTCAAATATATATATATATATATATACATACATACATTTATATATACATATATATCATGGTTTTTCTTTTTAAAACACCATCTTTTTACCTCTATGTGTCTGTGTATACCTTCTTGAGTTTATGTGCACCACACACCCACAGGCAGCTACAGAGACAAAAAGAGGGCATCAAATCTCCTGGTTGTGAGCCAACTGATGTGGGTGCTGGGAACTGACTCAGGTTCTCTGTAAGAATACTGTTATTAATTGCTGAGCCATTTCTCCAGTCCCAGCAGTTCTCCTTAAAAACAAAATGGTAGTTTAATATGGATCACAAGTTCTGAAAAAAAAAATCTCTAAATATTTTGAACAGAGGGAGTGGGCAAAATCAAGAAGTGGACATATGATATACACAAGGACATTTATCCAAAGGATTATTAAGGGAGTGGTGGCACCACGACAGGCTCTAAGTTGGGAGGTCGAGAAGTCATGAGTCATCGACCAGCCAACCAGATGCCCAGTTGCCATGGGACAGCAAGGATACTCCAACACCAGCAAGCAGCCACAGCGCCTGACCTTCCCGCAGGAGATGATGATATCTGGACATACTGGAGCAGGAAAACAAAGTAATACATTCACAGAGGTGGAGAATATAAAAGTAACCACTTACACAGAGAATCTCCACAAAAAAGGTCTCTTGTCCAATTCATTGTCTTTCCCTTCCTCAGGCAAGACTGAGGAGTCCGCGCCTAGCAATCATCAGATGTCACACCAGCCGCAGCAGACTTGAGAAGTACACATAGAGCAGAGAGACAAATATATGACCATAATGACAAACAGATGAAAAGACACTTTGCTACTAGGGGAGGAAGACCAGACAGACACGCAAAGAAAGTTCCAAACCTAGAAAGACAAGCATTGGAACCGTTAGAAGAAGAAACGGAACAATAGAAAGAACTTCCTTACAGGTATTTGACAGTGCAGAATCTTAATAACCAAAAGTTAAACATAATCCAATAAAATACCATGTTTGGGGCTAAAAGATGGTTTAGTCTGTAAAGTGCCGGCCACATAAGTATAAGCACGGACCCGAGTGCAAATCCATAGCACTGAGAATGGATCTGTAACCCCAGTTATGGGGCGGGGTGGGGTAGGGCCTGGGGATAGATGAATTCCTGGTGTTCACTGGCCTGTTAGCCTAACCAATCAGTGAACTCCAGGTCTAGTGACAGACCCTGTCTCTAAAACAGAGGTCAGTAGTAGCTGAAGAAGACACCAGAGGTCAATCTCTGGTCTCTGCACGCACACAATGAACGTGTGCCAAATGAACCCATACTTGAGCAAGAGGGTGAGGTAACTTTCTTTAGCAGTTTGGACTTCACCCATGGCCCTACTGCTTTGAATCTGTGGTGACAAAATGCAACATGGCAAGATCATGTGGTGCACAAAGTTTCTTAATCTATTCCCTCTGGGAAGCAAAGAGAGAGACAGGAAGGGAGCAACCTCTGATAATCCTTCTCAAGAGTGCACTCTCCATGGCTTGAAAGGTCTGTGACCTTCAAATCAGAGCAGGAGCTGCCATAAAACCTATGGCAATGTCCCCACTGTTCTTTTTCACACCACAGTGTTCTTCCCTCAGCTCCTCTTAAAATGCAAAATTTATCTACTCCATACCCAAGACCTCTGAAGCTTAACTGTCCAGTATCACTCAGAAGTTCAAGTCAGAATTCTCCCCTGAGACTTCAGGCTGCTGAGCAGGGAGCCCCTGTGAAATCCTAAATGAGTTACATGTTGATAAACAATAACCTGGAGTTAGTGTTCTCTTTCCAATGGAAGGATATAGGAACCATGAAAGGAGACCAACATTCCCGTACAGCAGAGAGTAAGCCCTCTGTGAGCATTCAATCACAAGTGTCGCCAGCTGACTCCTGGGCAGGAAATCCGGTTTTTAAAGACAGGCTAGCCTTTAGATAAGCATTTGCTTTCCTGAATCTTAACACTGTGCTGTCTTTTGATTAGAGGACAGAAAAAACACATTCTGGGAGCACAGTAGTTTTCCCACCAATGCTATGCAAAGATCACAAGACCCACCAGGGGTTTTGAAAAGTAAACGCCATGGATTGAGATACTGTGACCGGCGTTTGCACCCCTTGTCCAGTTTCCCTGCAGTAGTTGATTTGATTCATTTCTTAAATTTTAATCAACAGAAAAGCCACATATTCATGCATAGCTACTTGATGGTCATTTTGGCCTTTCTGGTTTTGTTTTTTTCTTCAGTTGATAAAACCTTTTGGTTACAGATGACCATCGTCTCCTGGGCCCTGATCTATAGTCTGTTTTGTAATATTCTTGGCAAATATTATTTTCATGCAAGTCAGACATTCTTCTTCTAACTACAGAGCAGCATTGACTCGCAGGCGATATTAGAACCAGATGTTTCCAGAGGTTTTAAAAAACTAAAGAAATATCACTGGTCAGGACAACTAGGGCAATCTTCCTGCCTCCTGTTCTCCTTTTACTGAAAGAGTTGACTCTATCCATTAATATTTTAGTTATTCTTTGCAAAGTTACAATATTGTGCAGAGAACAGGAAAACGAGACAGTTTTATCAAGTAGAGTCGATTTCAAACAAGGAGCCCTAAGACAGCGGTAATTTTCTCTTCCAGTACATCTCCACGTCCAGGATGCGGGCTCCTCCGCCTTGAGGAACCCCACGCCCACGGTCTTACCCTCTGGCCCATGCCAGCTTCTCCTGCGGCAGCTCTGCTGCGGACAGCAGCTTCCTCTCACGGGGATTTTACAGTGCAGCTTCTATAAGTTCCTGAGTGCCCAGTGCAGCCAAGCTTCCCTCCAGCAGATCTCTGAGGAAGTCTGCCAGGCGCTGCTTACACTGGTTCTCCCCTTCCACACACGGGCACAGGCAAATCTTTATGCCTGTGCCTCTACTACTTTTGTTTTTATCCGTGCGTGCGTACGGGGGAGGGGGGCACACCTGTGGAAGTCAGAGGACAAACTGAGGGAACTGGTTCTTTCCTTTTACCATGTGGTTTCTGGGTATGGAACTCAGATCATTAGGCTTGGTGTCAGGCACCCCACCGCCACCCACCCAGCAATCTTGCTAGCCCACACTCTTACATTTTGATTTGAAAGAGAAGAATCACCTCAAGACACTAAGGACTGCCACTGGTGCCCATAAGACCCATGGGGAGACTTGGCTTTTGTTGG